CAGCCCTGGCATTACCCAGTGGTATTTGACAATGTAAAAAAGAGAAGTAAAAGCTTGGGAAAATGGCCTGGTATGTGGTCTGAAGCGATGAGTCTGTACTGTCCTGTGCTCTGGGATAAGGGAAGATATTAAATACAGAGATGCAGATGGTTTTAGAAATACTGAAGTTGAAAAACAGTGAAGGGTCACATTTAAGGGCTGATCAGAACATCAAAGCCTTAAACATTTACAACTTTTAATTCTTTAAAATATGAGAAGTTTCATTAGAAAAAGAAGTACGGTCTTGCCTTTGGTGCTGTATAATATGGAACTTCTTTTTCTGTTATACAGTATATCCAACATTAAAGCCTACTGGTGTCAGAACCACTAAAAATACCGTCCCCACCTCCCCACACCAGACTCCAGCCTATGATGAAACCACTGCTGGCCCCAAGACAGACACTCCTATCACAGGTAACCTCACCCCACAGCCTCAGTCTTTTCGCCTGAGATAGTGACCTTGTCTCCTGGCAGTTAATATAGACAGACTGTCTTCCACAGTGAATAAAGCAGTACGGGTCTTTTTATGGCTTTTTTTGTTATTGTATTTTGAGCAAATATACAGAAGATTTGAAACATGACATTAGCACTTCTGATAGTCAAATACAGGACTTGGCTCCTAATCAGAGAACTTAAGGGGAAGCCAATTTCATTCTCAGAGTCTATAATTACCAGAAGAAGGGTTGGATGGACTTAAAGTATGAAACAAGGCTTTTTAAGCGGCTCAACTGGTAAAGTTGTTCTCATTGTGTTTTGATTGTGGGTTTAAGCCTGGGATATTACTAGCTGACTGTGACTGCTGTTCCTCACTCAAGGGTAGAGTGGGATTCTTGGCCAGTGCTCTCTCAATGAGCTCTGTAGCCTCTTGGCCACTTGAAGGCATGCGGTGCTATCAGTAATGGACATGTCAGTAACTTCTCCTCCAAATGGATCTCAGATCATTTAACTAGCAGACAAACAAGCCTGATAAGCAATTAGCTACACATTACCAAACCAATGAGACAAGACCAAATGGTCTCTTTCAGTTGAAATGTTTCCTAAGTTTGAATCTTCCACATGCAAAAGATCCCACCTTCCAGTCTGAGGATGAACATCCCAGTGAGAGCCCTGATAGTGCATACATACAGTATGTGTGAAACCAGTGAAACCTGATTACATTTCTCTGTCAGGACAATGAGCCTGTCTTGTTGACCTTTGACCCCATGCGTCCCATGCAGCAATCGCAGTGCGCCAGGAGATGACATGGCAGGAGGCTGGCCAGTACTGCCTCACCTTCCACCGGGACCTGCTCAGCGTCACCGGTCCTGACAACCAGAGGATGCTAGAGGTCGCGGTGCAAGGCCTCTCTGGTCCCGGGGTGTGGATTGGCCTGCGCAGACACGCCCTGTGGGGGTACTGGTACTGGGCCGAGACCAGGGAGCTCCTCAGCTATGCCCGCTGGATGGCGGGTCAGCCGGACGGGAGCCTGGGCCAGCTATGCGGGATGGTCTCTCTGGATCGGAACCAGAATTACACCTGGAGCACCGAGTGTTGTGAGAGACGCCTCAGCTTCGTCTGCCACTAGTGGGCTCACTGGAGCCCCTCACTACATGCAAGAATGAAGCTGAGGGAGGGAGATAAAATCAGGAGTATCACTACAGAGCTGCTGCTGCAAATTCATTTTTCTTTAAAAAAAGAAAGCCAGTATCACGTAAACACTGTATAATCTGCTTGTTGTTGAACTATTTTTTGTTAAATCTGAAAAGGTTGCTAGGGCTTAAGTAATTGCAATTATCACAATGTTTCGTTCATTCTCACACATTTTATAATCATTTTTGCAACAAAGGTCCATTGTAGGACCTTTTTCTTACTTCTTATGCATTCTGGAGATAAAGCATTTTTTCCATACAGTACATAAGCATACAAGCATGATAGTATAAAGAAAGTTTCTAGTGTGTGAGGGGTGGAAGTAGCTGCAAAGCTGTACATAACTGGGTTTAAAACACTGAGGTTTTCAGTGCCAGGTAGTTTAGAGAGCATTTTCTGTCCAGAAAAGGTCAAGTGCTGAAGAAGGTGGAAAATTCATCAGTGCTGAATTGGAGAGAATGATGGATATTGGTGCCAATGTCACATAATTGTGCCAATGCGTTCCTGCAGCTACAGCTATAGGCATGCAAGTCTCCACGCAGGGAGAAACCATGGCTTGCAGACCTTACAGTGACTAACCAACATCTCCAGGGAAGAACTATTAACGTCGGCAACAGTACTTCACTGTACATGTCAAATCATGATTCAATTTTGGTACCAACATGGAGAACGTTGCTCGCCCCTGTCAATGTCTCTGTATATCCACTAGGGGTGTGGGAGTGTCATGGCCTGCCCATGACAACAGCACTCACATGCACATCTGTCAGGGTAATGTCAACACATTCTATTGACACAAATGCAGTTAATTCATTGTCATGGCCACAGCTTCATTCTTGAGATGACAAGACTCAAGCTCATCATGCTTTGGAAAAATTGGAAATTGTAGCTTCCTGTGGACTATTAGGCTGCACAGCAGATATGTGAGATGCCTGAGGGAGACCAACAGGGTCGTGAAGCTGAAAACAGTCAGTGGGAGATCTGGAGGTCCATGACCTGGAGTTTTACATGGGGTTTTTAACATGTGCCTGCAGAAAGAACTACCCTAACCTTCTCTAACCTTCTGCTACTTTCACACACTGAGTGTCCACATTCTTTTTCTCTTTTTAAAAGTATGATCTACCCACAAAGTTTTTGCCCCCTTTTCTCCTCCACCTCAGCCCCACTCTTCTGAGTTTCAGAAGAGCATCTCGCTCTTCCGCGATGCTGCCCCTGCTGGGGCGGGACCCTCCCTGAAGACACTTCCATGAATACAGACCAGTAACTCGGCTTTCATCTGACCTACTCCCCCTGTGGGACGCAATCAAACTTCAACTTTTCAAACTAATTGATTTCTCATAGACAGTTCAATCCAATTTTATTCAATCACAAATCGTTGAGGTGAAGAGAGTATATTGGATTCCAGCAGCCAGGCCTGCAGTTCTGTTTGTGCCACATCAGTAGCTTGGAGAGTGAGGAGGAGACGGGCAGAAATGAAGGACCTCAGGTTTGACCTCAACCAAATTTCAGGTTCGAAATGTTCAGAGCTGGAAGATCCTTGCAACACTTCCCACGTACAGCATGTGCAATGACAAAACGGCCCGGTGTTTAACAGCAGGTCGCTCCCTGGCTGCATGCGTCTGCCAGGGGACGTCCAGAGAATTCTCGGCCCTCTACCTTTAAAGGGGAACTGCAACGCTAGTTTTATATTTCTGGGTTAGAAAGAATCAGCATGGATGAGTACATTTCACACCGGAATAAAAGTAAAATGTACACAGTAACTTGTAGAACCTTCATATTACATAAAAAATAGACTAAATTTCCAGGTATGTGCAGCGCCATCTAATGCGATTCAGAAATTGGCCACAAAACATCCAGTGACAGGAAGCAGCCTTATCACATTGTAAATGAGTAGGCTCGTGAATACGTCTCTTTTAATCCAATAGAAGTATTGCTCTCAACTTTTAGATGGTTTTGTAGACAAATACTACTTGTTAAGTGTGCATGCAGATCACATTGGAACATTTCTGCGGTGAAATGTCTGCGGTATAACCTGTACTTACTGTCTCGTACATCACATTACAGTAGTCATTAACGTGACTAGCGAGCCATTAATTCAATTCAAAATTGATCATTTTTTCCTATACCACCAACAAATTTATCTAGTTACAGAGATTTAATAACCGGTCTGAGAAATCGGAGCTGCAGTTCCCCTTTAATGTCAGATTGTGTCTGCTGGACATCATCACTGCACTGTATCGCAACACCAGACAATTAACATGTTGTGTGCATAAAGGTGAAGAACTAATCATTTCATTTTTACACTGGGAACAAACCAGATCCCTCCCATTCGTCACTAACAGCCTTTTAATATTTTATTTTCATCTCTTTAATTAACGGATCAGGCTGCAGGGTGGCAATGCTGTTGTCAGATGTCTAATTAGTCTGGGATGAATGAGAGGTTTCAAGACTTCCAAATTCACTGCAACATGCTGTGTAATCCAGAATGAATGAAGGCAACAAAAAGAAATATAAAGAAAATTATGGGATAAAAAATATCTCATATATTAAATATAACTAATTTCATAATGTGATTTTTCCTTAGAATCCAGTCAGAGACAATTGCTTAATCGGAATAGTCCAAATACAGGTTTCTGACAGTTCTCACATTAACATGCATGTTTATGTAAATGGTAATTAATTCACTGTTCCTTTGTTGATGAATGTATTTCCACTCTTTTGAACAGATGCCAGGCAATAATTGCTGTCTGTGTTATTTTATTTGCAACTGTATCATTGTAAACAGAAGCAAATGTGTATAGCATCGCGAGATGATTGCAGAAAATAATTGGCAGAGATAATGAAAATAAATATCTGAGCAAATATCAGCATGTTTGTTATTATCTCACAATGTCTTCCCAGCAACAATCAAGGGCAAAGCAGCGACACAAGGACCTGAAGCTTTCTGTCACTACCACCCCCTGGTTAGCAACAAAATCTATTTATCCAATTTGATTGCACACATTTTAGATGAGAACTCCAAAATGTCATTATTTCATGCATTTCACTTACTTTATTTCCTAAAATATTTTAGGGAACAATATGGCTACTTTATTACCGTATTCTGTTATTAAAAAGTAGCACATCACATCAAACATTTGGATTCTTCTCCTTGGTTCCACGTTAAGGGTCACTGGAGAGGGCATCACAAAAAAGGGGCAAACTTGCTTCTTTCTTCACCAATGACTTTGAGTCAACAAATCCCAATTAAAACTGCATTGTTTATTATGTGAAGGACTGACCATCTACTGTGTGTAGCCCATTACACCGCGCCTAGTAAAAATATCCACCCCCTTCCATTGATGTCCCACTTGCTTGACTCACAGGTGATGTATACACATTTTTTAATATGAACAGTTTTAATCAGATTTTGAATGCTCAAAATGAACACTTCTCTAGGTGCAAATACAAAATCCCAAAGTAAAAAATTTGACTGAATGAGTATTCACTCCCTGAGTCAACACTTGGTGGAGACATGTTAAGCAATTACAGCTGTGAGTGTTGTAGGATAAGTCTCTCTATGCACACTGGGGATGGGGCAATTTTTCTCTCATTCCTTCTTAACTTGCTCAAGCTGCATTAAGATGGTAATTGTGTACATATCACATTTAACACAGTAACCTGTGAGGAGGTTACAAACATTTAAGTTAAACTACGGACCAGAAGAGTTACTATTATACATTACAGATGGTCCTAGCAAAATTTAAGGATGGCATTTGAGATAAATATCTAAAATATATAATTCAGGTGGGTAGCTGCGTCAGCATGCGTAGGCTGCAAAGGAACAAGTAATAGGTTTATTCCATGCTGAAAAAGAAGAAAGAGAACACAACGTTTCGGCCGTGGAGCCTTCTTCAGGTGTGCTGACCTGAAGAAGGCTCCACGGCCGAAACGTTGTGTTCTCTTTCTTCTTTTTCAGCATGGAATAAACCTATTACTTGTTCCTTTAAAATATATAATGGGTAGATATTCAAATACTGTACCAAACTCAACAGTGTTCCATTGAAAAAGTTTGCTAAATAGAGTACAGGAAAAAAAATCAAAAACTTTCAAAGCAAATGATCAAAAGGACAAAAATTAAAAAGAACAGCTTTTGTCTCTCTCAATCAGTTCACAAGTGCTGAATCTAAACACAACAGCCCAAGATGAAAGCTGTCCTTTGAATTAAAGTGAAAACACTGCAGCAATGAGCCTGGAGGGCTTCTTTATTAAAACACATCTCTTGCTGACAATGTAGCCCATTTCCATCAAATTAAGATCCTTCTCTTTCATCGAACACATCAACTTCACTTGCTCAATGCCTCTGACAATCACAAAAGGGCTTGCATTTAAAAATATTTTGGATTTTTCAAACTACCAAAATATGTCCATCTTGAATTTAAAATCAGATCTCATAAATGCACCTGGGTGGGGATGCACTCCACTGGCGGACGAAAGGGATCCCCTCTGTTAAGCAAAGAGCTATAAAGAGGTATAAAGAGCTATGAAGAGTAAAGAGGTTACAAAATACTATCAAATCAAAAGCAATTATATACAATTATTATATCACACAAATCAAAGCACCTCCATTAGCGTAAACAGCAAAAGAAAAGTGTTAGAAACCCTGCCTATCTGCCAGCCAAGATGATGCAAAAAGAACAGCAGACTGCAAATGAGATGACCACAATGTTTTGTAAATTGACATTTTTATTCAAAGCTGTACTCCAAACCTGTAAAACCATGCAGAGGGGGAAGCTAAGATAAATGTCTTGCTGCTACTGTATGTAACAGTCCAGAGATAACAGTGTCAAGGCTAGTCTTGTATATGAGCGCTGTACTCCGTATTACCACACCTCAGGGATCCACTGAATTAGGCCTTTTACCAAGCCCTCATAGGCACACACACTACAAAATAATTCATCTGTGGACAGGTGATATTGCCTTCTTAAAATGCACAAGACTGCATTTTATATAATCTAATTAAATGCCAGAGATCCATTAGATTTGATCTGAACTGAGGGATGTTTTTAATGGTTCCTTTATTGAAATAAGTAATTCCTTCTGAGGCAATGTGGATACAAGACTCTGAGGGATGACTCTACTTACTGTGAAAATGTGTTTTAGAATAAAAACTAATTGTAAATCATCTGATTAATTAGCTGCATATTAATAAATGTTTACAGCCATCACAGGTGGAGGCTACCAGTGATAATTCATTTGAAATTTGCACAGTCATAACGTAGCAATTTTTGTGGCATCACGTAGGCCTTTAAAGTTCAAAATACTGTACATATTGGATTTTACTCTACAAAATTCGTAAGACTTCCTAATTGTAACACACAGCCAGAATCAAATGCGACACGCCAGGAATCTCCAGCTCTGCTGCTCGAGATCCCCACTCCAGTTAGTTTGACTGGTTTTAGAGACTGGCTCCACCTCTCAGCTATCGATGAATCAAACAAGTACTCCGTTAAATGAAAAGAGCTGTGGTCCTTGAAGACTGAAGAGTACTTAGAACCTAGACTTCAATAAACTCTGTGGTACTTAATCTAAGACATCACTTGCTTAATGATCACAATGCAATTGTTTCATATTTTTAAAAATTGGTGATTTAAAGGTGACCTATACAACCTGCTGAACTGGAATTCATGAACAGAAGCTTTTGGTTGGTATTGCTGTTTGTTCTTGTTTCTCAGTTTGGTAGTGTCGAGACCAGGGGCTCTGCCTGTTTTACTCTCCAGTCCTGCAGAAGCCATCATGAATGGATTGGGCAATGTAATAAGAAGATGCTGAGCTCTGAATCAACTCTGGAATGGCCTGAGCTGTAGGACAGGAAGGGCTAGTTATATTAACCACGCCTCAGCTGAACTAGACATGGGCCGGGGAGGAGATACGAAGCTGTGCACACGGAGTCTCAGATAGATGCAAAGAGAAAGTGAGGGGCCGAAAAAGAGACCGGGTCAGCACCAGCTCTCACATCTTCTTGAGCCGTTTCTTGGGCCGCTGGTTAAAGACAGGGGAGGTTCCCATGAGACTGTCCGGGGAATGGGAGCCGTAGCTGGCTTCAGAGCCAGCCCCGCCGGGTGACGGGGGCATGCCGGCTTCGCTCATTGTGGACATGGGCTCTTCAAACACGTCGCCCCCCAGCACGGCGTGCCCCGACACCTGCCCCTCCTCCCCGTCCTGCGGTTCCATCTTCACCTGCGCCAGCTGCCACAGGGGGGAGCTGGTTCCCGCCGCACCTGCGGACACAAACCACACCAGCCGCTCAAGGTCCACCCAGACCTTCAGACCACCTGCTGCAGGCCAATCGCCAAGTACCCTCGGCTCCATCACAGGACCACAGTGAGATTGGTGCTTTATTCACTTACTGTAACGGGTCCTCAGGTAACCAACAGTGCTGCCAGAGTTAATTTAAGTTACTGGGGATTAGCAGGAACACAGCCTTCCGACAGAATGGCATGCCACAGAAAAAAGTGTGTCACTTTACCGAGCGCCACAACTGTGCTGAATTGCCCGGATTACAAGAGTCTACAAACTTGCGTTTTCTGATTGGCTCTATCATATATGAGCCAGAGACAGAGATAAGAAAGAAATGACAAAGAAATGACAAACAGCTATTAAGATCAATAATTTCAATTCTATATCATCTCTACAGAATAGGAATATTTTTAAACCACACATAGATAAGCAGGCCAGTTAAAACTGGGATTCTGATGCCTTAACTATTCATTTTCCACATTTCAAGACATTGCTATAATCAGATCTTACCAAATTGGTGCTGCAAACATGTTAAGATGGGCTGTCAAGAGATGTGAACAGACATGTCTACCAATGAGCTCTTCAGCGTACAGAAGACAAAAGGGCGAGTGTGTTACTCAGTGTTATGCACAATCGTTTCAGTGTACCTCCAGGGTGTGGGGAGTTCTCCCCTTCCAGCACTGTGGGCAGTCTCTCACTGGGGGCCCCCAGGACCCCAATGGGCAGGGCCTGGTCCCCGGAGGCCAGATCCGCCTCTGGCTCCTCGCTGACGGGGAAAGCGATGTCGCTGAGCGGCTCCTCTTTGATCTTCACTGGCTTAGTGTCCTCGGTGGCCTTCTCGGGGTTCACCAGTCGCTCGTACTCCTCCGAGAGCTCCCTGCTCACCTGCACAGCCAGGACAGAACGCACGCAGCCATCATGAATTGCTGACGACAAAGGGCACGATCGGGCACTGGCTAGGCTTCGAGCTGGAACGTCCAAACGAGTTTTTGCAAACTCTGTAGTGTTGTCAGGCATTCATGCTTTTATTTTGATATTTAATTGTATTTGAACAGTGCTTTTCATCACAAAACCACCCCAAGCACTTCGCATACACAGGAGGGGAACCACTTCATCTGTCAATGAAGTGCTGCATCCACAAGGGTGGAGTCATACAAGCATTCCACACCAGCCGCCCCCCCACACAGCAGGTCAGGTGGAGGAGTGAGGAACTGCTTCACCAATTGAATGGAGAACTGTGACTGATCCCACTTAATATGGCAGCCGAGCACAGAGGATATATACATAACATCCCACTTCTCCAACCTGAATTAGGTGGTGAATTAGGTTGTTCCTGTTAACTTTTTTAACCCAAAACATGTCCGACACTTGTACGCCTCCTCCCTCTTGTCCCTTATGAATTAGTAGCAGTGGAAATACTCCTCTACGCTCGGTTACTCACTGTCGCAGATAACACTGAGGGTCTAACTCAAACCTGAATGGACAACTTCACTTTATCCTGGGAACCCCTATGTAGGGAAAACCAGCTTTCAACAGGTGACACCAATTCCCTAAAAAACATGCGTGTTTAGATACTTTATTATCTCCCTATTTCTGGCGAACGTACACATTATTTACTCTCTGAATGTTGCTGCTCTGTCAGCGGAACTTTAGGGAGACTGTTTAAGTAGGACATAGCCAGGTCACCCTAATTACCCCCCTTCCCACTATGAACTATGCTGACCAAGCAGAGAAGACTCATGGGCTCATTCACCCGATGATGGCACCTCCTACAATACAGTGTCTCTGCTGCACAGTGTCTAGAAATACATCATGGAGGAATTCACATGTTGACTTACACGTTCAATAAACACACCAAAAATGGAAGACAAACCAGTTGAGGTTGGTGTGATCAATGAATCGGACGGCTGCCACAAACTGCAAAAGCTCCTAAAACCCGCCGCTGCCGGTCAGGGCCCCGTCGCCAGCCTCCCGCCTCTGCGGTCAGAAGGGGAGCAGAGCAGCTCTCACCTGCAGCATGTAGCTGTGGTAGTCCTTGATGCGCTGCTGCCAGAAGCGCTGCAGTGCCAGCACGCTGCCGATGCCCACCTCGTGGAAGACCTGCTCCACCACGTCCGGGAAGGGCGTCGTGCCCAGCCGGGCCTCCCGGTCCACGCCCAAGCGCAGCAGCCGGCTCAGGCGCAGGTAGTGCTCGTGCGCCACGTCCGTCAGGGTCTCCAGCACGCTCTCCTGCGCTGTCTCGAAGCCCGCGTGCGCCAGCACCGTGGCCACGGACTGGTACAGCAGCTGGCGGCAGGAGGGCCAGCTCAGCTCCGTCACTGGCTCTCCTTGGCCCCTGAGCAGCAAGCACAGACTCACAGCAGGGCGGAGCAATACTACAGCAAGTTATTTTACTTCTATAACTCTGGTGGCACGACTTCATTACAATGATTTTCATTTGCGTATTTTATTGCTTATGAGCTTCAATTATTTGCGAATGCCAATGTAATTTGTTCACAATGGTGACAGCGCAAGGAAAATTAAAGCCGGCAAACATTTATTTTTTAACAGAATTATAATTTAAAAATATATAAATATTCCATAAAGATAATTTTTAAAAATCCACTGACAAAACGGGGCAGCAGCAGTTTCCTTCACTGCTTAATTGCTGAAGAAATGAAGAACCACATGGAAGACACACATGGAAACTATGTGAAAGAGCATTTAAAAAGAGAACAGGATCCACTATATTACACAAAGGGTTATAGGAGTGTGAAACAAGCTATCCAGCCATGTTCCTGAAGGCAAAACTCTGGTTTCTCTCAAGAAACAGCTGGTTGAGACCAGTTGAGACTCGGCTCAATTAAGCACTAGTGCGCTGGATGGGTCGAGTGGCCTCCTCTCACTTGGAAGTGTTCTTCTGATCATGTCTATACAAGGCAGTGCTCTCATCAGTAGGTGTATGAGGGCTGAGCTGGAGGCAAGATGCACTCTGGGGCTCTTCAGGAGAGCCGAAACACATCAGACAGCAGCAGTGACTGCTGGCTGCAAAACAAGACTGCCAAACCAGAGCGCTACGGAAACTCACGAGCCAAAGTGAAGGAGCATGTCTGGGGAAATGCTGTGGAAGACAGGTTTTTTTTCAGTGCGGGCACACTTTATTTTAACCCAGAGACTTTCCTTGTCATTTCTTCTTCAGCCTGTACCAGGGAGTTACTGAACTCAAGTTATTCCATGTCTTAACACTTACAGCTATTGCAAAATTTCCTTCTATATACTTAACAATGTTT